TGAAGATCATAGGGGATTAAAGATGTTGTAAATGATCTTTCAAAATTGTCTTCTACAGGGTCGATCACCATATGCTCGGCTCTCACAGCTGTGCAAGGTACCATAGTCTGCCCTGTACATTGGGTCTGACCATCATTAACATGGCCTTCCACATAAATATTAAATTTTTATTTATTATTCAAATGTATAAATAATTAGTAATGCTAATAGATAATAGTATTATCACTATAATATATTGTATTTGTTTTTAGTTATGCATCAAAGATAAGACTCTTTAAGTTCATGTTACACATATATCTGCTACTACTATTATTATTTATACTTTTTTTTTTTTTTTTTTATAATTACCTATCTTTGTATTATAAAGTTTGACTGTAACAAATTAGCTTATTATTATATATTTTTATCTGTTATGTTAATAGCAGATAGATTATTTTTTTGTAAATTGTTTTTCTTAAAACATCTTTATTTACTATAGTTGATTTTCTTGCAGATCAAACTCATATGAATTCTTCCACATATTTTTTTATCTTCACAGTAACACTTATTTCAATTGATACATATCTTTCTGCCATCATTCTATTCTATATTATGTTATATTGTTTGATATGTATTGTATTTGTATCTTTTTACTGTTGTTACATCAAAATTTCTAGTTTTAACTTTAGTATCTTGGTCAAGAAGTGTTGAATCCTAATTTGCAACTAGTATTACTCTATGATCTTCATTATAGGACATTGCAACATAAAAATTCTGTTTAAGACATAATTCACAAATATGGTCTCTGTATAAATTGTGTTTGTGTTTTCTATTACTATAAATTATAAGAACAGCATCTATATATGCTTTGAAGCTAATAGCCATTCTGAAATATTCATGAATGCTGTATAATGTAATTACCTTTTTATTGAATTGTACCTCTTTTTACTGATTGTAGCATAGGTTCATCTTCTGACTCTTTAATACCAAATAACAAGTTTTTATATATAAAATTCTAAAGATTTATGTATAAACCAGAAGCAATTGCTTTTCATAGTCTAGGTGAAGTATTAGGTTTAAAAGACAGTGTTTTAATCATTTTCTAACTCTCTGACCAGTTCATTATCCATCAAATACATATAATTTTTGTTTTTGCTGCTTGAATGTTAAAAAAACCATGGATTTCTTAGATGCATTTGAACTTTGTGTTATCAAAAAATGAATATTTTCATGACATCAATCTGTCTAAGTGCAAGTTTGTAAATGCTATATCTGTGTCCTGGCCTTGAAGAGTAACCTTGGACACCCTCATAATAAGGTCATTTAATACTGGTATCGGAGAATATTTACCTATCAGTTGTTCAGATTCTTTCCTTCTGTTTTTGTGATTGTCATAATGATGTCATATATTCTGTTGACATTACACCACTGCCTGGCTCTATGGTGTTGGTGTCACTACTGGTTTGATTATTGATTTGTGTCATCTGGGCTAACATATTGTTGATGTTTGATTGCAGCTGCTCATTTCATGTTTTCTGGTTATCAAATTGGGAATCAATATACTACTTGATAGAACCGATAACTGATGTGGTGGATGAGCGGATCGACTCATCAATATATGCTTTTACTAATGGGTCAATGTATGCCTCGGGCCTGGGATTGTTTAGTGTTGTGACAGGTGCAGATATATTTTGGGCTGGTTGGACAGCCGTGCGAAGTTCCTTGTTGTGGTCACGTGGTTTTGGCTCCGTGTTACTCATAGTTCGATTCTTCGAGAAATTGTTTAACGAGATGAGAAAGGGTGTCGATGCATCTTGTTTTTTGGTTATTTATATATCGATTATGGTACTCTGTTTTCATGTTGATTCATGCAATTTTTTACTGATTGATCCATTCTTTAATCCCGACCCATGCCTTCTGCCCCGTGGTCTGAGTGTGGGGTTATAGCATGTGGTGTGTGACTCTGACCAACTCTTCCCTTTCTTTTCGATCCGTTGACTCTTGTCAACATGCATGATATTTGGATGTCTGTACGAAGCAGCACCATAATTGTATTTCGTAGTTTTAGAACACCTTCTTAATGATAGACAAAAATGAGATGCTAGATCAGTTCTCGCTTGCATGTTACTTGGACTGTTTATTAACTACTATATTTGCTTTCATTCCTTGTTTCTAGAGTGACTACGTTATACAGATATCTTATTAAAAATTTGTAGATCTTTACTAAATAATTTCCATAGCAATTTGCTATAAACCACTTCATTTCACTACATTCCTGTATAGCAAATCAATGCATGCTGGCACAATAAGCACTAAACATTTTCTTATGAACGGTTAAAAAAAATTTGGTTGAGATGAAACAAAATTTAGTTTTCATAATACAATAGAAATTAACATGAAAGGTTAAAATAAAAAAGTACCATTTGATACTAAAATGAAGTTAATTCTTTTTAATAGTTTTGATAATAATTAAAGTTATAAATTTGAAACAATAATAAATAAATTAGAAAGGTTGAAAGCAATATGTATTAACTTTCAAAAAATAATACACGAATGATAACGCTAACTCTGATTGTACATGTTCCTTGTTTGAGCGTATTATATCGCGCAGCTATCCTAAATTGCCAATTTTACTATTAATGTTAAATGTAATAACCTATTCAGAAAATTGAACTTTTTTATCGTTGTGACTCGGTTATATTTAATCAATCTAATCCACTGGCTATAAAAAATAATAGCAAAATAATGTTAAATAGTATAATGTAAATAATTATAATTAAGAAAAATAAACTTATGATTTCATTACCTTGATATTCAGAACGATCTTTAAATGAAATAAAACTACTTACATAACATTCAATATCTGAT